CCTCCAGAGGAAAGGAAGCTCAAGGATAGCCACTCCCCTTTTCACACCCCTACTTCATCCCCTTTCTTCTCAATTTTCCCACTTCCTTTCCTCTCATCACAACAAACCCCCCCACTCCTCTTTCTCTAAACATCTCCACCCTTCTCCTCCTCCTCCTCCTCCTCCTCCTCCCCCTCCCCCCCCCATCCTCCCCCTCCTCCTCCCCCTCCTCCTCTCCCCACTCGCCTCTCCTCCTTTCTTCCTTTCCTCTCCTCTCTTTTCCTCACTCGCCTCTTCAAAGTTCTGCTTCTTCTGCATGTTCGCCCGCAGCTTTTTGACTTCCTCCATGATGACCATGGTGAAGTGCCAGGTTGTGGTAACCACGCACCCGGTAGACCAGAACTTGCAATTGCGAAAAATGCGCAGAGCCGCTAGGCGACGAAATGCAGATACACGGAGGAGGGGGAGGAAAAGGAGGAAGAAAGAGGAGGAAGAGGAGGAGGAGGAGGAGGAGTACAAGAGGAGAGCAGGAGGACACGGAGTGAAGATCGTAGAAGCGGCGTTTGAGTTTTTGATGAGATAGAGGGAGGAGGATAGCAAAGAGAAGAGGTAACGAAAGATGTGGATGGAGCGAAGAGACAAAAGAAGGAGAATCCATGAACAGGACATGGACGAGAGAGAAAAGCAATCATTTGACGCGATGACGAACAATTGTGATGGTCGCCTTTGCCTGAATGATCCTGAGCAGGAACAGGCTACTCGCGAAGCTTGTTTCCCCAGTGAGGAGTGGGATATGACAGTCAACTTCATCCTCTCTCTCCTCCTCTGCTGCCTCGTGAGCTGCCATGTGGATGTATTGACGATCAACGAACGCATGCATGCGAACAAGGAGGTTTCATGGCCCGCGAACGTTCGGCCTGCCATGAGGTTGAGAGGAGGAGGGCCCAGTGACTTCGGTCTGGATCCAAACACGACGGAGATTGTATTGGAGGATGAAGACGACTCGTCGGAGATCATAGGAGAGGGGACGGCTGCTCCTGGCCCTGGGGTGCAGGTGCAGGAGGGATACATTGAGGAGAAGAACAGCGTAAGAGTGCAAGAGTTGAGTTGTGATGTAACAAGATCGGCTTGACTCCTGTGTAGATGGAGATCACAGACGTCTTCGAGGAAGTGCAGAAAATCCTCGAGAGGCTCAACAACGTCACGATCGACGACGTCAGCAGGTGCCGCCGGAGGTGTCCCTGGCGCCCGTTGCCTGCTGACATGCTTGACGTGCAAGACTGTATGAAGAGTTCAGGGCCAAGAACCCGCAGGCTGTCGTGGTGGACCGCCCAAGGTTGTTTCACTTCGAAGTTCGCAGGGGGAACGTGACGGCGGTGGAGGAGCTGCTGAAGGAGGGGATCTCCATCGACCACAGGACCTTCGTCGGGGATTCAGCGCTGCACCTAGCAGTGCTTGAGAATCGGGTGAGGAGGAGGAGGAGGAGGAGGAGGAGGAGGAGGAGGAGGAGGAGGAGGAGTTTGCAAGGAAGTGAAGTGAAGGTGATGGGAAGACGGAGATGGTCGAGCTGCTGCTGAGCCGAGGAGCCAAGATCGATGCCTTCAACAAGAAGCGGAACACGGCTCTGCATTTCGCGGCGGAGCTGAACAATGTGATCCCTTGTGACTGCTGGAGGGGCGGGGGGGATGGAAGTGATGGTGACGATGATGATGTTGACGACGACGACGATGACGACGATGTACTTGATGATGATGATGATGAGGAGGAGGAGGAGGAGGAGGAGGAGGAGAGAAAGGATGAGTGGCGGAGAGAGGGAGCAGATGATGACGATGATGATGCAGGTTCCTATGATCCACCAGCTGCTGGAGCATAACGCTGACATCAACGCCCGAAACCTGTGAGCTGACTATGGGAGGAGGAGGAGGAGGAGGAGGAGGAGGAGGAGGAGGAGGAGACTGAAAGTCGATGGCAGCGGGGACGGAACTCCTCTCATGACGGCTGCTATCCATGGCCGCGAGGAGGCGCTTCAGGCCCTGCTAGATCGTGGTGCGAACATGAGTATCAGTCAGTGCCTTTCCTCGCACGTTCTTCCTTGCTGACAACGCGGGCAGGAGCGAGGAAAGGAAGTACCGTCCTCCATCACGCAGCCGGTGCGGCCCTGCTCCCTCCTCTTCCCAGCCATCTCACCCGCAGGAGGAACAGGTTGGGGGCACGTCGAGATAGTCCGCCTGCTCCTCCGCCATGGGTTCGACCCCTTCGCCGCCACTCCCTTCGGCCGCACAGCCTACGACTGGGCCTACTACCACAACCACACCCTCGTTATGGACGAGCTGAAAAAGTGCGACTTTGCTCGCCGTCAAGCTCGACCCCGGCTGAGAGGTGTTGACAGGTACGGGCTGGAGGCTCGAGACGGGTGCATGGAACCCTTGCTGGAGATCAAGAAGTGGGCGGAGGAGAAGCGGCAGAGGAAGGAGGCGAGGGAGAGGGGGGAGCAGGTCCCTGTGAGGAGGAAGCGGAGTACAGGGGAGGAGATCGTTGAAGAGCCGCTGATTATCGCTCCTCCCTTTCGAGTGGAGGTGAACGAGACTACTGGGGATGAAGTCTTGAAGATTCCTGCGATAGGGAAGGTGAAGGTAAGAACACTACCCCCTCCTTCTCCTCCTTTGCTTCCTCGTCTTCCACTTCCCCTCCTTTCCGTCCTCCTGTTCCTCCTCCTCCTCCTCCTCCTCCTCCTCCTCCTCCTCCTCCTCCTCCTCCTTCCCCTCTTCCTACTCCTACTCTCCTTCTCCTTCTCCTCCTCTCCTCCTCTCTCGTTCTGCGCTCCCTCCTTCCCCTCTTCCGACATCCCCGTCCTCTATCCACTTGCACTCCTCGTCCTCCCTCCCCTCCTCTCCCATTCCTCGCAGAGTCTGAAGTGAGATAGCAGAAGAACGTCGCCGAAGCAGGAGGAAGCGAAGACGATGTCTGCCTCTGATAAGCACAAGGGGAGGAGGATGGGAAGGAGCTGCGAGAGCAGCAGGGAACCAAGAGGTGAGGAGCTGCTGAACAAGGTGACCGAGGAAGCCGAGAAACCGAGGGGAGGAGAGACTCGGGAAGGAGCAGGAGCAGGAGCAGGAGCAGGAGCAGGAGCAGGAGATGACAAGGGGGCGGTGGAGGGGCAAGACAGGGCAAGGCAAGGCAAGACAACATTACTTTACATAGACATGAAAGAAGAAGTTACCATTACCAATCAGATTCTTCTAGAGTACAAAAAGCATCAAGTTTGCGCTTTTCAGCTTGTCAAACTTGACGTCCCTCTTGACTTCTGCCTCTCCTCGTCAGTTGGGCTCGAGCTGGCCATCAGCTGACCTTGTGGTGTAGCAGCCAGTAGGAGGCGGAGCAGATGTTGTGCCTGTTTGCGGCGACGCTGCGAGAGGCGAAATGCGGATCGAAGCCGAGATCGACAACCTGAGAAGGACGAGCACGAGCACGAGAACGAGAACGAGAACGAGCACGAGAACGAGAACGAGCACGAGAACGAGCACGAGCACAGAGAGAGAGAGAGAGCTGTCAGTATGAGAAGATTGAAGGTGTAATACGTGAAGGAAGAATGGAAGATTTGAGGGCGGCGCGAGGGAAAGAGGAGAAGGAAGAGAAAACGCGGTGGCAGCGACAGGCAGAGCGGAAGAGGAGGGAGAGAAGGAGGAGACGAGGAGGTCGAGGCAAGAGCAGGAGGGAGGAGAGTGTTTGTTTCGCACCTGCCGCAAGAGGTCCTGGTCGACTGAGATGACTGGGGCTCGATTGACAGAATCGACAGAAAGCTCGCAGTCAATGAAAGAGGGGGGGGCCTTTTCCCTGCACAACATGTTAACAACCCTTCAGCCTCCTTCCTTGCTTCCTTCCTTGATTCTCCTCCTCCTCCTCCTCCTCCTCCTCCTCCTCCTCCTCCTCCTCCTCCTCCTCATCCTCATCCTCCTCCTCCTCTGCTTCCTCCTCCACCACTTCCTCCTCCTCCTCCTCCTCTCTTCTGCACAATCTCCACAGTCTCCTCTTCCTCCTGCTCACTTGCTCTTTTGCTGGGCAACGGTATCGAAGGATTTCCTGCTCGTACAGTCAACATGCTGGAGAGGAGGAGGAGCAAGAGGAGGAGAGGAGAGAGATTGAGCTGGGAGGGGGATGGGGAGGGAGAGAAGGAGAGGCGGAGGAGAAGCAGAAAATGGAGCAGGGAGGGGAAGGACAGGAAGAGGAGAGAAGGGGGAGGAGAAGGAGGAAAATCGAGCAAGGAGGGGGAGGGGAAGGGAGGGGAGAGGTGAGCTGCGTCATGGCGGACCTGCACCAGACGTGCTGGCTGCACTCCTCGAAAGTGATGCGGCGGGCAGGGTCGATGTTGAGCATGCGGCGAACAAGATCGCGACACTCGCTAGACATGAAGGTGGGGCACTCGAACTTGCCCTGAGGGAAGCATGAGGAGGAGGCAGATGAAGAGGAGGAGGAGGAGGAGGATGAGGACGAGGAGAAGGAGGAGCGGCAGCAGCAGCAGCAGCAGCAACAGGACGAGGACGAGGACGAGGACGAGGACGAGGACGAGGACGAGGAGGACGAGCAGCAGCAGCAGAATGCTTGTGAGACTCTGAGCAGCTGGGCCTCACCTTCATGATCTTCCTGCACAGCTCCTGACTATTCGCCCCTTGGAACGGGAAGTAGCCGCAGACCATGGCGAAGAGCACGACGCCTGTGCTCCACACGTCCACGCAGGGCGCGAGGTAGGGCTTGCGCGCGACGATCTCGGGAGCGGCGTAGGAGGGGGAGCCGCAGGCTTTGCGGAGCCTTTGGCCGGGCTTGAAGGAGACGCTGAAGCCGAAGTCAACGATCTTGATGTTCTTGTCCTGATCCATGAGCAGGTTGTCGAGCTTCACGTCCCTGTGCACGATGCCGCAGGAGTGGCAGTACTGGAGGCCGTCAACGATCTGAGCGAAGAGGCGGCTTGCTTCGCTCTCGTGCAGCCGTCTGTTCTCCCGCACGTACTTGCACAAGTCTCCCCCGCTGCTGTACTGCATGATGAGCAGCTGGCGGTAGGGGGCGTCGACCACCTCGAAGAGGCGGATGATGTTGGGGTGACAGAGGGCCTTGAGGATGCGAACCTCCCGCGCCACTCGCTTCCTCGCCGTCGGCTCCGTCAGCTTGCTCTTCTCAAACGTCTTGATCGCCACCATCTCTCCTGTCAGCCGATGCGTCCCGAGCTTCACTTTCCCGTACGCTCCCTCCCCCAACGTCCTACCAAACGTGTAGAAGTCCACCGAGGAGAAGGGCTGGTGCAGCGTCGCCACGTGCTCGTCGCCGATGCTGCGCACGAGGTTCTGCAGGCCCGACACGTCCAGCTCCTTCTGGTTCGCCGCAAACATGCTGACCGGCTGCACCGAAGGCTCCAGGCTCCCAGCTCGCTGACTGCTGGGCATCTTGTACTCGGAGTAGGGACGGGTCATGGCCTTGACCGGGTTCGGCTTCGCCGCGTCGTAAGCTCCTTCAAGGTACTTCCTGGTGATAGGCATCGCGTTCTCGAGCTTCGCGCTCGTCCGGGCGATCCTCTGCGAGCAGTCGTAAGGATTCTGAGCTGGGCAACAGCTGAGCAACAAGCTTCTCACCTCGGCGTCATCGTGAGTTTCAGCCGCATGCTTCTGAGCCTCTTGGTTGCTGACTGCCCACCGACCGTTGGGGATATTGTGGGCCTGCAGAGGGAACCTGCGCGAGGACGGGGCCGTTCCCTCGCCCCCCTTCGTCTCTGCATCGTTGTTCTTCGCTCCCTCCAGCTTGTCCGAGTTGACGACCGTTGGCGCTCGCGAGACTTCACTGCTGTTGGAAGAAGAGTTGAAGCGCAGAGCACCTCCTCCTCCTCCTCCGCCTCCTCCTCCCTCCGGGCCTTGAGCCTTCGGCGTCCCTCTTGCGCTCTCTCCGTTCTGCCAGACCTGCCTCTGGTACTCCCCGTAGGGAGCGGAGGAGTCCTTTCCTGTGTCAGCGACAGCCCACCTGTTGAGCATACGCGAAGACCCCGGCCGCACCCGACGACCTGCGTCTTCTTTGAGAATCTCGTGCTGGCGACCGTTGACGCTGAAGTTGTTGTTGTTGATGCTGCCGCTGTTGTTGTTGTTGGTATGGTTGTTGTTACTGTTGCTGGTGTTGTAATATGCTGCAAAGTAAGGAGAAATGACATCCTTTTCCTGGAGTGCTGATAGCGGCGGCTTGACAGTGGAGTATGGGACGTGGTTGACTTTTGTACTCCCATGCACTTCCATCGGCTCCTCCCCCAGCCCGTTTGGCATCTGAGGCTTCGAGTCGTACTTGGAGGAAGGGAAACGTTGGTGCTGAGAAAGTATCGCGTCAGAGACACGCGCAGCATGCAAGGAAGCAGAACCTTGAAAGCTGCCGGATACAAGACGCCAGCAGTAGGAGGGCCAACGCGAGACGACGGGGCGGAGCCTGGAAGAGGGAGGGAGGAGGATTACAACGAAGTTCGCGTGAGCATGGTATCAAAATCACCTGCTGAGTTTATGTTCTCCCCCTCTCCTCCTGTCGGGGACTGAGCTCTCGCGGCTCCGGCTTCTCTCGCTTCGAAGACTTTTGACACAAACCTGCTAGCTCCATTCGCATGAGCAGTCTGGGGGTGGGCGGGGTGAGCTGTTCCAGGACGCTTGAGGAGGGCAACCGAAGGCCGGGCAGAGAAAGGTCGAGCTTGCATCCCTTCTCGACGCGGAGCAGAAGGATGTCTCTGAAAGTTTCCTGTCTCCTCGTTGACTTCCGCATTTAGCGCTGAGCTCCCCCCATTGAGAACGTTGTGGTTGTTGTGCACATACTTGGTGTAATCGTTGGGGGGGGTCGGGTTGAGACGAAACCCGTTTGGGATTGTGACTTCCTTCTTGTGTGTTCTCTTCCACCTCGCAATCCTCGCCTCCTCGCGAGCATGCTGCAGTGACAGCAGGTCTCAGTCGCATCACGCCATCATCAGACCTGTCGACGCACCAGTTTGGCAAAGTCGGGGATCCGTCGGGCTGAGAAAGGAGCATCTCGTACGTTGGTGTTCACAGGGTTCGCCTCGCCAGTGTATCCTATGAAAGCCATCTTCTCCGACTGAGCTGATGCAGGCCATATCAGTCAGAAGCTGATTGAACCTGCTTTCTTACAAACCTGCTGTCTCCCAACAATCCAGTTGGACTCAACGAATCAAGCCTGTATCGTGATGGTGCAATAACTACAGACGAGATATGCTCCTGATTGGAACCCTCATCCTGGTTGCTAATGCACTTTCATGAACCAGCTGTACCGACAACCTGTCAAAAACTGTTGAAATGAATGATTAGACAGGACTTGGACCAAAGACATAGGAAAGGACTGGAATAATTTTTTTCTGGTATCTCGTTTCAAGACTTGGAACAAAAAACATGGAAATGAAAGTCTTTTCTGCACTAACTCGTTCTCTATGCGTCATGTACCAAACTAGAGAGTTCGAAGAACGAAAATATCGAGCTACGCATCCATTGTAAAACATTATTGAATTATCTAGGATGGTTGATGCCAGCGATGGTGATGGTGATGGTAATGGTGATGATGACGGCTGAGAGAGATGGAAGAGCAAATACTAAACGTTTCCTTGACTTGGATAATTTGATGCGAGAGATCATGGAAAACGTTTGAAGGATCAGGAAGACAAGGAAGAGTTGTGTGCGGGAAAGGTACATCCTAATTTTTGCAAACTTTGACCTTCGGGAGCTTGTATGCAGAAGATTGAAGGGGATGGGAATGGAGCATGATGCCAAAGGAGAGAAAGGAGAAGGAGGAGGAGGAGGAGGAGGAGGAGGAGGAGGGAAGGGTTGGTATGGATGGGGAAAATGCGGAGACGCAGTAGGTTGCTTTCGGCCATAGTGCCGTTGGCGGGCCAGCCCATACCTGCAGGTTGAGACAGATGGAGGGGTAGGTGGTCTGACATAGCACCCCCCAGAGTACCACCCGTACTTGAAAGGGACCCAAGATCAGAAGTACCCGTCCTTTATATACATTTTGAGGGGGCCCAGTAGTATTTCTCGAAAAGAAGGGGGTGGGATACACTGGCCAGTTGTGTCTGTGGACTCTACGGTGGGGTAGTCACCCCACCCCCATGGATAGCTTCCTCGAATTGGGGCGGCGCCGGCGGTACATCCGACTCACTGCGCCGAGGGCCGTGTCCGGCCGGGCGGATTGCCCGGCCCGG